ACACTTTTTTGACCAATTGATACAACTCTAAATGCACATGTGTCACCTATGTTACATGGTAAACAAAATTAATCAAATAAATGCATGTGACATAATAATTCATATTTAGGAAATATAAAATTAATTATTTAGATGGGAAATAAATAATAAAATGAATATCTTATTTCTGATTTTGTGATTTTAAATTAATATCTTCCAAACCATATTGAATTTTTAAAATATAATTTTATATTCATTCTCTTGGGCATCAAACACTTTTTGAGAATTTTCTTGTACATTTTCACAAAACTCAAATTTTTAGACCAAAATATCCATCCTAATGCGCAAGTTTGCCCCTTAGGTGATTTTCTTACTTTTAAGACTATAAATTCACCAAAATGAAGAATATAACATATAAAATGGGTCTAAATTAGTGGATAAAGTATGTAAATATTGTGTCTTATTACCTATAAATAAGATCGAAGGGAGTACATACATGTCTCAGAGGTTCATTAAAGGGAAAAAGCAGTGTTACATTACACCATATATCCACGACCACAAGTAAGTAAAACTTTGTATTTCATGTTAATCCTGATTTAACCTTGCCCTCCCTAACTCCCATTATGTTTTTCTACAATGGCCGCTAGTAGCTAGTACTCCTTACCCTGAAGAACAACATTGTTCTGTTCTTATGCTCTTTTTACTAGTGGGGAAAGATTTGAAGAAGACAATAGACTAGTAAGTATTTTTCAATAAAAAACTATATTAAAGTGTTATTTATGGTATATGATTGGTAAGTGATTGACATTGTAATTGTGACGATAGGGTATAAAAACATATTAGATTGCGGAGTTAAAGAAGTACACATATGAGCTCAAAGACCCCATATGGATTGCACCAAAAGTAAGAGCATGTTTGTTTGTGATAAGCCTAGTTAATTATAAATTTTCTCTTACTTTGCTAAAGCTTTTTTTTTTAAACAGAATCATAGATAGTCAAAGAAAACTTAATTATGTAACTTGTATGTCATGTGACACATTGTCAACATCATTAGGCAAGGCATGGCTTCATTCACCCAAGAGGTAAAATTATTTTTAACAATTTGTGCTATTTTTCTTCAACTGGAATAACTAATATAATACTTTAGTTTTGTGCTTTCAAATGTTTGAGCTTACTTAGTCATTTTTTGAAGAGGACTTGGAGGAAATCAAGCGATGGTGGATGGAGTACTTCATGGAACTCCATGGTTAGTTAGTACATTTTAAATTTAAATTATTAGTTTAGTTTAGTTATTTCAATAGTTGTTGAATGAAATTGTTAGGTTTAAATTTGAATTGTTAGTTTAGTTTAGTTATTTCATTGCACTTTAATTGTACATAGTTTAAGTTGAATTGGAATAAGAATTGTTGGAAGGAGTCATATTGTTTAACAATATTTTTTATTCTAGAATATTGGATTGGATTCGATTGGCTTGTATATACTTGTTTTTCATTATAAGTGAAAGAACATGAATTTGTCTTGTAAAACATGGGGTTAAGACATATTTAGAAAAATGTTAAAAAAAAATAGCTTTTCTAAATTGGTTGTTGTTAGATTTATTATATGTGAGTATATTTAAAGATAGTATACTCACCAAAAAACTTAAGCCATTTGGTTATATACTTTATAAACTTATATATTTATTATCTATCTTCTAATATTTAGATGTAGGACTTCTTTTATGTTCTAATATTTCCTCTATTATTTTTTCTCATTTTTTCATTTTTCTTCTTCTTCTTGCATAAGCTTATACTTTTTTTAATCTCAGAGGCCTCAGGTTTATTTGATTTCTTCTTTTTCTTCTCCTTCTCTCTTTCTTTTGTTTTAATCTCTTGTTTTGTTTTCATCTTTCATTTTTTTTCTTTCTCTCTATTTTCTTTTGTTTTCTAGTCCCCGATCGAAAAACTCATAATACCATATTATATTTCTTATATTAAGTATGCTTAAGGATAGTATACCCAATCAAAATAGCTTATGTCATTTGGTTAAATACTTCTTAAACTTATATATTTATTATTTATTTTATAATTTTTGGAAGTGAGACTTCTTTTATGTTCTAAAATTCTCTCCACTACTTTTTTTTCCTTTTTTTAAATTTTCTTCTTCTTGCTTGGGCTTGTATTATTTTTTTAGTTTTAGAGGCCTCGGGTCTATTTAATTTCTCCTCCTCCTCCTCCACCTTTTCCTTTTCTCTTTTTTAATCTCTTGTTTTTTTTTTCATCTTTCATTCTTGCATTTTTTTTATTTTTTTTCTTTGTTTTCTTTTCTTTTTTTGGTTTTTGGTTCTTGAATGAATGACTCATGAAACCCTGTTATATGTCTTATATGTAAGTAAGCTTAAGGATAGTATATTTCACTAAAATAGTTTAAGCTACTTAGTTAGATACTTCATAAACTTATATATTTATAATCCATCTTCTAATTTTTATATGTGAGACCTCTTTTATGTTCTAATATAATATTAACTAGTTTAAAAAGTCAACTTCTAAGTCGATTAATATTAATGTCACAACCGATTTAGGAAAAACCGGTTAAGAAAATGAAACTTTCTAGGCCGGTTGTGGTGAAGAACTAGTTTAGAAAGTATTTTTTATTTTTTCTTTGTTGCTTTTAGTAGGACACTTTCTAAATTGGCTTCACAACTGGTTTAAAAATTAACCAATTTAGATATCCAATTTTAACAAGTTTAAAAGCAATATTTCCATCTACTGTCATTAAAAAACATACTCGACCAGGGGCTGATCTTGATGTTCAGATTTAACCCAAATGGTCTAAATTTAAAATTTTTATTCTTTATTTGTATTTTGTATTTTTAAAAATAAAATTTATAAAAACTTTTAATAAATCTGTTCATTACCATCTATCATGACTCTACAGATTTAATTTTGATCGTTTAATTTAATTTTAAGAATTTTTATAATTTTTATGAATTAACTATTTAGGTGTATTCTAGACAATCTAAATTTAATATTAATTTTTATAATTTTTATTTTAATAAATAAAATATTAGAAAAAAATTCAAACCTAACTATCTTTAAAGTATTAATATTTTAAACGCTAAGTGCTTTTGTTCTTTATTGTTTTATCAGCTCATGACTGGTATTCATTCATAGAATAAAAGATGGGGTTCAAATAGAAAAATGCTAAAGGAATTATTTTTTATGGAAAGGTATTTATAATAAGTTTAAAGGGATCTTTTATCAACCTATTATAAAATTAATCATGTTATATAATAGTGATTGTTGTGCTTTAAGAAAGCAACGAACGAATAAAGTTAGGGTAGTAAAGATGAGGATGTTGAAATAGATATATGGATAAATATAAAAAGATAAAACCATAATGAGTATATATAAGGAAAGGTAGGTACATCACTGTTGAGAAAAAAGATGTTAGAAAATTATTTAAATTAATGATTTGAACTTGTGTAGAAAACAGTCAAGGAAGCTATCTAAAAAGGCTTGGTTATTGATACAATGACACATGCAATCCATATAATCAATTCTACCTAATAAGATAAAAGTGTTCGTAGCTTGAGCCACACCACATACAATTAATTGGCACTACTGTAAAAAGGCTTTTTTTTTTTAAATTCATATTTTAGACAACAACAACAACAAGCCTTTATCCCACTAGGTGGGGTCGGCTACATGGATTGCAAGACGCCATTGTGCTCTATCATTTATTAAGCTAAATTCATATTTTAGACAGGTTAAAAAAATAGTCTATGTAAAATGAGGAATTTAACCAATCTAGAAATTCTAGTGTATATTGCAGTTAATATAGCCACTGCAATGCTGATATATATAATGCAATCAAATCGGTTGTGTTTAACCACAATTTTAATAATCCTCACCACCCTGTGAACTCTTCCAATAAAATACGGGATATTACGTACAATACTATTATTGTGTGTTTAATAAATCCAAAACAAGAATATCTGGTCGAAAATAAATAAATAAATAAAGCCAAAAACAAGAAGATATACATTAACATATTTTGAGAGTGATCAAAGAGAGACTCGCCAACCACCAAACCATATTTTTATATATGAAGACCGTGAATGATTGAGATAATTAATTAATTGAAGACATCATGTTTCTGCCAATCTGTTGTCGCTCATGAAAAAGAAAAGAATATGTACATGCCACAATATGGAGATCTCCTCTCATATATACCACTTAGCAAACACTTCAATCTGTTGGCTCTTTTATTTATTCTTCTTTATTTTTTTCATCTTTCTATTCATTCTTGCACGTAATATTGTTCCTTTTGTTCATCATTTCTGTGATATTATAACCTAGATATCAGACAAAATTTGCTATCCCACCTACAACTAAGTATAAATGAAACTTTTTTTTTTTAATAACAATCATTCAAGTGATAAAGTGTCTGGATTTTCTTCACTGTCAGTGATCCCTCAGCATGTAACAAATTTCTATCTTGATGGAAAGAAGAATATTTAATTATTATAGGAAACACAAAGTTCTTATTATTATTAATTAGAAATCCAGAAGAGGAATCAAAACTTGAACGTTGAAACCATATTCTTCCTGTCTTGTTCCTCTTTTTCCTAGCATGAACAGGACAATATGCTAATTAATTTTTTTCCAACTTGGGCACACACACACACATGCACACAATTACTAAATTCCTTAATCGTCAGTATAACACTGAGTTGCAACAAATGTGGAGATATTAATATTTTGTTTTTTGATGAGATCAAAAAGCAGGTTTACATGTAGTAATAAAATGTATCTTTTTCGGGGCCAAAGTAATAAAATTATCTTAATGTTGTACTCAAGTGACCAAATTATTGCACGATTGTGTTTCTTTTAAATGCTAAAAAAATACCATGTTTTTGTCTTTTTGTCCAAAACCATTGATTCTATCTGTACATAGAGAGCTTGTCAAACTCTATTCTTCTCCAATATATAGTACCTCACAAATTAAACTCTGATCTATTCTTCCTATTTATCCTCCTTCTCGCTCTTCTGCTTCTGGTTCTGCATTTAGTTAAGGATATGACGATGATGATGAAGTTGAAGGCCATGAAACTGTTCAGAAAAGAAGTGTGTACATTGAGAAAACAGGTAAGTGGTAGAGTAGTGAAATGGGTTAGGTGTTGTTTCTGTGATTATTATTATGAAGAAGAAAACATACCAAAGGATGTTCCAAGAGGTCACGTAGTTGTATATGTAGGTGAGGATTTCAAGAGATATGTGATTAGAGTTTCTGTGTTGAACCATCCACAGTTCAAGGCATTGCTTGATGATGCAGAAGATGTTTTTGGATTCAGCAATGCCTCTAAACTTCACATTCCTTGCAATGAGAGGATTTTCCTAAGCATTCTTTATAATGCTGCTCTTGTTCAACATTATTGAAAATCTCTTTCCTTGATTAGTCGTAGTGGCTTGTACCATGCCATATAATTGTACTGAGAGGAAAATCTTCAATATTGAGCTTCCATGGATTGGAATGAGAGTGATTTCTAGAACATTTTGTACCGTTTTTATATAAATGATTTGTTTTGCATTATCCCTGGAAACTACTCCAAAGGCTTGAGCATGCCTTGAAGGCTAAAGTTTAGGTATAATGACAATTAAGTTTTAAAAGAGAGAGTTAATAATAGTTGGCTCATTGATTCAACTAATTATAAATTCAAAAGTTTTAATTGTAAATAAAACATTTAAGTTCTAAATATAACTTTTAGTTTTCATGTGAGATTCTTGTTTGTATTCATCTAAATTGATATTTACTATTAATTTTTCATAAAATTTTGTTGGAGATTTAACTACCATTAATTTCATTATTTGAGACTTTATTATCATTCTTCCAAATTTAATTTAAGCCCTTGTTTGTATATCATGGGAAAAAATTCTTTATTTTGCAAAACAAAAGAAAATGATATACCATACATCTAATGTAAGGAAGAATTACATATTAGAATCTCAAAAGAGCAAATTAAACTAATGAGAGTTTAGTTTTAGACAAAAAATTTTAATAAATAAGTTACATATAACGATTTAGATAAATGCAAACAGGCCTCCTAGTTTTAAATTAAGAGTTATATTTAGAATTTAAATATTTTATTTAAAATTGAAACTCTTGAATTTGAAACTTATTTTTTCAGAAATTTTTTTAAAAACTTAATTATCATTAATTTTTGTTGGGTTTATTATTTTCCATGTATGTAATGATTAATATACTCGTTATTATCGCTAAAAAAAACAGAGGATAACAAGACAAATATAGGATGCATACACTATTTGGTGGAAACATATATATATATATATATATATATAGGATTCTGAAATCAGAAGAAGTAATTTATAAGAGCACAAGTTAGACTTGTAATGCTGGGTGATTCGAGTAACGGGAGCACGTGAAGGAAGACATTGAATGAGTGTAATAAAACAGAGAAAGTTTGGGAACATTCACCAACTTTGGGTAAGATAGAACCAAAAGGATAAGGAACATGCGAACTCAGTCACATTAAATTAAGGGTACACAAGTACAAGTACAATATACTTCCTTCATTCAAAAATATAAGATATTTTTTTGAAGAGTTTGATATTAAAAAATAAAAAATATTTTTAATTTTTTAAGGTATAATTGTTGCTTTTTTTTTTTCAAAAGTATCCCTACCAATAATGACTTTATATTTATTGTAAGATGTTTAATAGAGATAAAATATAAAAAGATACGGTTGGCTTAAAAGTAGATAACTACTTTATTGAGAGGTGAGATTCAATTAAAAATATTTTATATTTTTTAACGGAGGGGGTACGTGTTTAGATGCTACGTACCACTTTTTATTATTTACTTTATTACCATCCAAGACATCTTAACTATATTTGTATGTCCAAACGTTAATATATGTGGTGGCTAAGATTTTGTTCTATTTTGTTGGTGTGTGCCTCTGTACATGCATGCATGTGTGCAGGTCTTTCCATGTTCTAGTCTGATTTAATTCTTTAAAAGCAACCGATTAGTATGATTTATGAGAGGAGAATACTTTCGTCAAGAAAAATAAGCTGGTAACAAAAATTATTTAAAATCATTGGCTGAAAAAATATTTTCTTGTGAATGTTAATAGTATACATAGAATTTGTTATAGATAATTATTTATCTTTAATTTATTATAAGCATAAGGATTTTTTTTTTAAAGACTCAAGTGTTGATTGTTTTTATCAAATAACACTCTATTATCGAATAATTATTTTATAATTATAAATATATGGTATTATAAAAAGGAAAAAAGTGTATACTTAACTATATACTCAAGGTGCTCATTTTCAATTAAATTAAGATATTTATATCTTTTATAAATTATTTATTCTATAATAAATTTTTATTATTAATATTATTAACACATTAAAATTCACATATCTTAATTTAATTAGATAAAAGTATATTAAATAAGGTTAAATATATAATTCTTACCATTATAAAAGTTTTATATATTGTAATTGCCATTAAAAAACCGGATCTACATTAAAAAAAAATGTGAGTGTGGATCATGTAGGGCCATAGTAAAAAAATGAGCATATAAAAATATTTAATATCTACTTCTATTGAATTATAATATATCACATTTTCTAAAAACTTTCTTTTGGTCTAAAAATTAAGGCGTTGGATATATTTTATATATTTTTTTAATTATATCTTTATTGTACATTCACTTTGGTCCCTATTATAGGTTTTCTAGAAGAATTTGTTAGTCCTTAGCATAAAGCATTTAATAGGAAATTAATTATATTTTTATAGTATTATTCCTATTTAAACTCATTAATTATGAGAGAAAATATAATGTAAATTTAAAAAAATTTCATTTAAAATTTTATAACACTATCTATCTATTTTTTAAATTGAAATCATTAAAATATCTCTTCCATTTTATTGCCATCCATTTCTCTCAAATTGAGGAGAGAATTAAGGTCCCATGCAAGAGATGTAATTTATAGTTATTATTCAAGGTAATGTTTTAAGGACTGGACTAGATATTGAACCAAAAAGGCCAGTGTTTCACAATTCATATGGTCTAATCGGGTTAGATCAATAATCAAACCAATGATGTAATAATTAAATTAAAAAATTATATATGTGTATATTAATCTAAATATAAAAAATAAATATGAAATTACTATTTCACTTAAAAATATAACAAAATATTTTAAGTTTATCATTGTTTAACAAGCCACATGATGCAACATGACATCATATGATTACAAAAATTGATCATTTTCCAAACAAAATTGATAAAAAATTAAATAAATAAAAAGTGGTTTTTTTTTAACAATTCAATTTTTAAAAATCAGATCTGGTTCATGTCTTAGATTCTAATTCTCAATTTAATTGCCAATCCAAAGCGAACCTCGACCCAACTTGCCAAATGATTTTTTCATGTTGAACCAGCCAAAATCTAAATCGATTGACGGTTCGATCATCTGATTTTTTAATCATTGATCCAAAGACCCATTGATGGACGAGCAAGACAGCTCAAATGACTTGTTTACATAATACAGGGTTTATAGTTGGGTTTAATGCCGGGCCCAAATCTTGAAGCCCCTTAATTAGGACCAATTTCATTTTCGGCCACATGAAGACCGGTTTCGTGACGCCGAAAAATAAAGGCAATTTTCTTGGATATAATTAAAGACAAATGAGTACCCTATAATATCTTTTCATTTTCAGGAGCCTATCTTTCTATATCTATAATAGATACTTTGACATATTATATAGGAAGACTAGAAGGCTACTAATAACTGATCTTATAAAACCACATCACATGTTGGTTTTTCATAACATTAATTTGTCAATTTAACTTTTACGTGTGAAATACTTTTTTTTGATATAATAATTTGGTCCAACTATTATTCAGTTTGACTACTTGTAAATGAAATTATAGTCAATATTGTCGTTTTGTTAATTTATCATTATTAGAATTAACAAGGACCAACATATTATGTAATGGTGATCACTAATAGCTAATCCGAACAATTTTTTATATCATTACATTTATTAATTGGGAAAATGATAATAAATTTTTTTCGAAATATACAAATGAAAGATAATATGTTGAATGGAGATAAAATGGGACGTTCACAATGTTGAATCTTTGGAACTCAGTCGGCAATTCTACATATACGCACAGTCGTCACACAAGGCAAGAGATTCAAATGCATAATGTCATTCACCTTCACCAGATCTACCTTCTTCATCGACAATGCAAACGAAGTAGGCAATATCTGGTTCTTCTTCACCATATCTGATATCCCTCGCCTTAGCCCACATTTGCATTCATTATCAAAGCTTCATGAAGAACTTCAATTGTCAATATTAATGAACCAGGAATTTTTTAAACGATGACCTTCAACTTTCGTTAGAGGATTATTAAGTTCATTAAACATTGGGGTCTAAAGAGTTTTATTATCAATGAAAGAGCAACATTGTTATGTTTCTTTTTTTTTCTATCTAGGTTGATGGCCACGAGCTCATGTTCAACTAGCTAGTTCATTGAATTCGATCGATTTGTAAACGCTTTAAGCTTGAATGTGGATGGGTCGTAATTTTAATGATCCAGTTAGATTAGGTCTGACTCCCTTCTTTTTCCTCATAAGGGTAGAATAGTCTTTTCACATTATAATTAATTGACAATCAAATCCCTAAGGATTAGAAAACAATTATCACATTTCATGGTATTGAACTATCATTTAGTTATTTCAAGGGTATTTTTCTGTTATTCTCCCTTATTAATTTCATGTACAATAAATTTATTCATGTTATTGACAATGATTTTCTTTGTGAAAAATCAAACAAAAATCATCAATACGCAAGAGATCAAAGTAAAAAAGAAGAGGAGAGAAAATTGTAAAAGAAACTACATTGAGACATATTACATTTATGAAGAACTAAATTTTTTAAGAAATTTATTTATAAAAAATAAAATAAAAATAAATGAAGAATTAAATTGCAACTCGATTTGGATTATTTTGATTTCTAGTTATTGGATCAAAGGCCTAGATATATCGATCCCAAAATTATTGATCTAAGCCTTCAAATCCTCTTAGATGACAAATTTCATCAACATATATGAGGTGTAGGGATTCTATTTTATGGAAAGTAAAATAGGAAAATGCATTCTCACATTTATGTCTTTGTCACACGAGGAGATGTATTTTTAAAAAATTGTGTTCCTCGAAAGAAAAAAGAAAAGCGAGGAAAGGTCCAAATTAAAGAAAAATATAATAATTAAAATATCCCTTATTTTTTATGACAAAAATGACCTAAAAAATTTAAAATACTTTCCCCATCCTTGATTCAGATCTCAGAACCAGAGCAGAAGTCCCTGATGGCATTGGATTTTTATTTTTTTAATGGATGCTGGTATTGGATTTTCAAGGACCGATGCTTTTTTTTTAACTAAAAAGAAAATTATAATAATAAATAAAAATAAAAAAAAGCTACAAGATTAGTGTCAAAACAGAATTAAC